GAGGAGACTGGCTGTGCAGAGGCTAAGTCCCTAGCCCTAACCCCTCCAGTTCCCTCACCTTGGCTCTTTTTTCCCTGTCCCTCCTCCCCTAGCTCCCTTTACTCAAAGCTCTGGGCATCCCCTCCACCCCACTCCTGGTAACCAGACCCTGCTTCCTGCTGAGATTAAGGCCTAGTCTACCAGATTCCCCAAGAAGAGGGGGGAACACCTCTCTCAGGGCCTCCCTGACTTGGTCTTGCACATCCATACCCTGGCATGCCCCCATGACTACAGAGTTGCTCAAGAGGGAACATTACGGGGGAACCTAACCTGAGAGACCTATGTGGGAAGGTGGGTGAGGGGATGCATATCTCCTGTGATCATTCTCAAAAGAGGATGGATAATCAAAGACAGGAAGCCCATGGAGAAGGAGGACTGCCATGCTAGACCCAGGTGTAGCCAGAGGGTAGGGGATATCTAACTTGAGGGGTATTCAGAAGTGGTGAACATCCAGCTTGAGGATGAAAGCCCAGAGGCCTTGACCTTGGGGTAAGCCCTCCATTTTTTGTTCATGTTGGCCACCTGGTGCTGGGTGCTAGGGAGTTGGAATTCCTGCAGCTGTCACTGTGAGGCGGGGAGTTGTACAGGTGCTCTACACTGCCCTGCCCCCCTCTCTGGCTGCTAAGCTGATGGTTCCGGCCCTGCTCTCTGAAGGACTGACAGTCTGGGCTGGCAGGGGCAGGGCTTCAGAACAGGCTGATGGGTTGTCAGATGCCCAAGGAGATCTGGAAGGCTGAATGTGAGTGGGACAAAAGCAGGGGGTGGGGTGAGGGACTGGGTCACAGGGACTTATCAAGCAGGGCTCTATAAATTGTATATGTGTGTAGAAGTGCATGATGGTGTGTGTGCACAGGTTGGTGTGTTTTGAGTCCATGCTTGAAGGGCAAGTGCTGAGGGGCTCGAGGACCTTGGTCCCTTGGGTCACCTTGCTAAGAGTTCTTTGGGGTCAGAAACTTACCCTAATTGGTGACCCCAGAATCTCCAGGGTCTGGTTTACTCCAGCCCTCAGCATGTGAATGGTGTGTGGGAATCCAGAGGCAACACTGCCCCTTCTTATGTAGCCCAGTTTGGCCTCAAACTTTCAATACTGCTGCCTCAGCCACCCTAGGGATTACAGGCTTGCACCACTCCCCTGGATCTCCTCTTTATTTTAATTTGCACATAACTATGGTGAATTGGAATTTGTACATAGTGCAGGGTGGTGGGAATCTGGCAGGATAAGTGCCTGCCTCTTTTGAGATGGGTGTCTCTCAAACAGAACAGAGGGGCTCGATTCTGGCTAAGGCCCTGAGCAGAGGCTGGGGATGGATTTGAGACACTCTTTGTGAATGAGAAAGGAAAGCCAGCGGGGAGAAAGGGAAGACATGGTGTCTGGAGCAGAAAAGAGGGACAGTTCAGCGCAGACTACACTTCTGTTCTGCTCTTGGCTTAGGACAAGGTCCCTTAGCCTTTACAGGTCAAGTTCATCCTGGAAGAAGGTCAGTTAGCTCCATTTACTGACAAAGAAACCAGAGAGGTTAAAATATTTCAACAGGTCAAACAGCCATTGAGGTTGGAGTTGGGGTTCTGACCCAGACACAGATGAAGTCCACCTCATCTCCCTCTGTCTAGTCTTGGTACTCTGAAGCCTCTTGGCCTCTATGGCCCTTCCTATCAGGGACATCTCTCTCCCTCTCTTCTTTCTTGCATCCTCCTCATCGGACCTGAGATTTTCTCACTGAGTCACATTCTGGATCTCAGACTTTGTGGTTCCTGTCCCTCTCCATCTCTGAATCTCTCTTTCAGAAAAGAGGGCTCACACCCTGAGTCTCTCTTTCGCATTGCTCTCTCTTCCTTGCAAGCCTCACTGTAAGTAACTATCCCTTTTTCAGCCTCTTACATTCTAAGGGCAGAAATTCTGGTGCCCTGTACTCTGAGTTTCTATCAACAGTCACTGGTCAAACCCCCCACATACTGCCCTGCCTCTCAGCCTTCACTGAGCCTTCTGAGCCCCTGTAGGTCTTAGCCCTTTACACATGTGCAAGAGAGGATCCAGCCAGCTGTTGCATTCTGAGGGAGAAATCATTTGGTTCTAAAGCATTAAGAGGAGAATTTCAGTGCTTGTAGAAGCAGCTGACATTCTTCCCAACTCCTTGGAGTGCCATTCTTGCAAACTCTGGACACACTGGTTTGCATAGTGGGTCAGACTTGGAGACAGGTTAGCCAAGAGGGCGGAGGCCTGAGAGTGGGATGTGGAGTCCCTGAAGCCCAGGATCTTCTGGAGACTTTAAGCACAGATTCTGGAGCCCCCTGCAGGCCTGGGAATCAGAATCTCTCCAGGCAAGTCCCAGAAATCTGCATCGTAATGGCTTCCTGGCATGGGCTGTGGTATAGCATATAGCAGTGCAGTGAGAACTCAGGGGAGACCCTGTCATGTTGAGTCTTGATGGGCAACATTTAGAAGGAAGTCTTGAACACTTGCAAATGTTGGTGAGGAAAGTCAGTGCTGAGGCAGGGGCTTTAGGGATGATTTTCCTTTCTGTTTTCCAAACTTTTTCTAACAGGATCATCTGACTTTTCATTCATTATGATTCTCAAGTTTTTGTGGGAAGAGCACAAAGAGAACAAGCTTTCAGCCCTAGTTCTGCTGCAAATGAATGTGTGACTTTTCTGTCATTCTGTTTCCCATACTTATCATCCAGGCCTGGGATGTCTCCTATCCTGGCACCACCCTGTGTTTCTTCACTCCCGCCCTGCCAGGGCCAGCCTGAGGATGCTCAGTGTGCTCATGGGAAGAGAGAGGGAAAGTGAGGGGATCCCAGGGGGCCTCGGCTCTTCTCTCCTTTTTTCCCACCTCTCCAGCCCTGCGGCCTGGGAAGGGGGTGAAGTGGCAGCAGGAACAGGAGGTGTCACTGCCAGGGTTCTTCTTCTCACCCAAGCTGGCAGAGGGGCGGGACTGGCAGTGGTGACACCAGGGCCACTCAGCCCCCGCTTTTCACAAGCACTTTCTTTTTTGGGTGGAAGAAATTGGAGGGAGGCGGGTGAGGAATCTTGGGTTGATAAGCCAGGCTGTAAGACCCTCTAATAGCCAGACCATCAAGTTATAGAAGACCAACTCCAGCCCCCCTCTTCCCAGGGCCAACGGAATGTGAGATTCATAACCCTTCTGCTCTTGAAAGCTGAGCAGGAGCCCAGGCCATCCTGTTCAAAAACAGAGAATAGATCACTTGGTTTGAGGATTAGCATGGAAAAGAGGAGGAGGAGAGACTCCATTTGGTCTTCCACAGCAGAGCATTTAACAAAAATATCCCCCAAAAGTGGTGTCAGCAGTCAACAGTCTCATGTCTCATGAAATCAGTCATTCAGGTGAGTCTTATGTTTCACAACAGGTAGCCAGAGTCCCAAGGTCACCCCCTTTCAAGCAGTGCTGCCCCAATTCAAACAGCAGGCAGAAACTTCTGCCTTCCTTAAGGCATGGGGAAACGGTGGGCGGTGGGCACAGGGTTGGGGAGGAGACCACACCTGGATTTCTGGTGTGGTCGTGTATCTGCTCTTCATTCTCAAAGGATGTGCTGATTCTCTCTTTCCCACCTTCCCTAGGTCATGTCTGCCTCCTGGGGTCCCCAGCTTCACTTTCACTGCCAGCCTGCCTCTTGGTTCAGCTCTAGTTGGGAGCAGAGAGTCCCCATGGGCCCCTAAGGGTGAAGCCCTGTTGGGCTGGGACAGAAATGGAGAGATGGGGTCAGCCCCCAGGGGAGAACTGGGGAGGGTGAGGATTGGGAGAGGGAAGAGAAGTTAACCTCTAACATGATGAAATCGTGTTGAAGTATTTTTCAGGACACTCTTTAAAATGTAAGTCTTTACATGCTGACATGCAAAAAATTCCATGACACCTTGTCAAGTGAAACACACACACACACACTTTACAAAGCAGCATGCATAGTGTTTACATAAAATCGTGGGTTCTAAAAGACAGAGGCAGGGTGTATAGGAGGGACATCTGATAGAGTGTTCACAATGTTAGTCCTGTTTGGTTTTGGGGGTAGAATTTGGGGTGACTTATTAAGCTTGCTTTCAATTGGGGGAAAAGAGGATGCTTTTCACCATAAAGTATGACTGCCTTAGTTAGCAGAAAAGGACACTCTAGGAAGAGCAGCGTTTGTAGCCATCAGCAGGACGATTCAGAGCATGTGCTGGGTTTCCTTCCTGTCAACCAGCTCTGAATCTCTTCAGAGCAGCTTTTCATCCAGCTGTTAATAGACTGAAAAGTGTTGTATACTGACATATGCTAGTGTAAGGCTCACCCCCCCACCCCCAGGAAAGTAGATGTGTTTGTTTCACTGGCTGCACCCAGAGGCCTTATGGGACTGACATTCAAGCAAGGGAAGTGACTTGCCCAGGACACATATACCTGAGTAGAGTCAATCCTGGGACTCTGAGCACTGGCAGGCCAATGCAACTACTTCCCGTACCCATGGCTGCTGTGGGCTCCAGGCTTGGAGGGACAGACATAGCCCACATGGGCCCCAGGCCAGACGAGTCACTTAGCACAAAGTCTAGGCACATTGTAGGCATCACCAAATAGGTATGGTTAAAGCAGCTCAGAGCCTGCCAGTGCTGCCAGAATGCCCAGCTAGTCCCATCTGGGCCATTACCCAAGGCCTCCTGTAGAAGAGGGCCTTGGAGCTGAGACTTCAAAAATGTGAAGAATTTTCCCCAGGGTCCAGGGGAGAGAAACTGGTCGGTCTTGCAGGTGGTGGGGTTGACTCCTCCAGAAGGCAAGGACTTTAAGCACGAACTTCAGAGCGCATGGGTCTCCACTGTGGGGGTCCTCCAGTTCTCGCCAACCGCCTAGAATTAGCCCAGTATTAGCCACGAGGGGGCGGGGTGAGGCGGGGCGGGGCCGAGGTGGCGGAGTGGAGGGGACGAGGAGATCATAAAGCCACAGCAAAGGCCTCCGCTACCCTAGTGACAGCAGCCCGCTGGAGAGGGAGCCGGGGAGCTGCCGCGCGTCCGCCTAACGCGGGCGCAGGAGACAGGCGTCCGAGTCCAGGCTCGGGTAGGGTCCCCAGGTGGGGTCCCCGGCCCCGCCCCAACCGCTCCAGTCCGCACGACTCTCTCACGCGTCGGGTGGTGGAGAGGTACCGGTCCTCGACGGCTGCGGGAAGGTGCCCAGCCCGCCCCGGATGGGCATCGTGGAGCCGGGCTGCAGAGACATGCTGACGGGCACTGAGCCGATGCCGACGAGTGACGAGAGCCGGGCGCCTGGCGTGGACCCGCAGCACCGCTACTTCTACCCCGAGCCGGGCGCGCAGGACCCCGCCGATCGTCGCGGGGGCGGCAGCCTGGGGGCGCCCTACGCCGGGGGCGCCTTGGTGCCCGCCCCGCCGGGCCGCTTCCTCGGAGCCTACGCCTATCCGCCCCGGCCGCAGGCGGCCGGCTTCCCCGGGGCGGGCGAGCCCTTCCCGCCGCCGGCGGGCGCCGAGGGCTACCAGCCCGGGGATGGCTACGCCGCCCCGGACCCGCGAGCCGGGCTCTACCCCGGGCCGCGCGAGGACTACGCGCTGCCCGCGGGGCTGGAGGTGTCCGGGAAGCTGAGAGTCGCGCTCAATAACCACCTGTTGTGGTCCAAGTTCAATCAGCACCAGACAGAGATGATCATCACCAAGCAGGGACGGTGAGTGTGGCGCGCGCGAGCTCGCGGGGCGGAGCCGGCGGGAGTCTCGGTGGCCCGCCGAAACAAGGACTTTTTGCTTTGCTTTTCCTTTTCTTTTTCTTTCTTTTTTCTTTTTTTTTTGCTAGACATTGCTAGTGTCTCCGTGTCCTTCGCAGTTTTGACTTAAACTTTAGGAGACAGTGAGGTTGCAGTGAGGACAGGGAAAGTTCTGGAGGGTTCTCTATGCCCAGGATATCCCACCGACATGCAGAGATCTCAAAAAGGAGATAGATGTGGGCGCAATGATAAGTCACCTTTATGCTGGAGAAAGGGCGCCTCCGGCTGCACCCAGAGTTGGTGTTTGCTCTTGCCCTGCTCTGTGTTTGGGTCTCAGTGGGCAGCCGGGAGCAGGGCTGAGCCTCCTCTTAACCCCTCTGTGTTAGGGCGCAGCAGCCTGGCCTTATCTCCCGCGTCCCCCACCCCCCACCCTCCGTCTTGTTGCCTCTTTGCCCAGGACAGCTTCGGTGGTGTATGGGGGAGGGAGATAGACTGGGATTTGGTGACATGTTGGAGTAGTCGCCAAGTTTCCTTTCCGGTCTTACTTTGAGATCATATGTCTGGGGTGTGTGTGTGTGTGTGTGTGTGTGTGTGTGTTGCAGAGGGGGGACAGTGGAGCATGTTGAGGGCACAGATCCCTTCAGACACAAATGCCCAGGGCCTAGGCAGATGCAACTCAGCCAGGGTCTGAGCTGGTGACCAGCCCCACACTGCACCTTTTGAGGCTGGTCCGGGAAAACTTGTCCAATCTCTTGCCTACATATTCACCAGTCCAGCCTGGGGAAATACGGAAACCCATGGCTCCATGGCTCAAGGTCCTCTGAGGCAGGTGCGTGAGCAGTAGGCTTGGGGCTGAGGGTGCTGCTTCCGCATAGAGTCTCCTGTATGAGGAAAGAAAGAGAAACTTGCAGTTTGTGTGTATTGTTTAGTAAGCAACTCGTGAAGTGGGCCCGTCTGGGTCTGATGTGGGGGCGCATCCACCCTTACCAGCAAGGAGGTGACTGACCAGAATCTGTGCAGGGGCTGTGTCATTGGTGGGCCGGATGGTGGGGACAAGGTTGGAGAGAGATTCCAAGTGGGACTTGGGAGGGCAGAAGGAAGGCCTTGTGGGCTCCACAGTGGGCACTGCATCTGGACATTTGGGAGCATCTTCCTTCCAGGCAGTTTCTGTGGTGTGGCCTGGGACTGTTCCTCTTTTCTGGGATGAACTCAAGAAAGGTAGGATGTTGTTTTCTGGCCCAACCTTCATCTCTGAAGTCTTCTGATAATTCCTTTCTGCTCTACCCCTGTCCCTCTCTGGGTGTCCCCAGGCATAGGCCAAACTTCTGGTCTCAGTGTATCTGAACTGGAAGGGAGTCCAGTCCTCTCACTCACTGCCCAGACAGGGAAACAGGCCCAGAGACAGCAAGAGACTCCTCTGAGGTTACATGGCACACCTGTTGTTGTTGTCTTTTCTTTTTTGATGTTGGGATCTAATCCAGGGCCTCGTGCATGCTAGGCAAGCGCTCTACCACTGATCTACATCCTAGCCCCAAATTAATTTTATACTAAATATTTAAAAAATTTTTTTGGTGGTCATGGGGTTTTGAACTAAGGGCTTCATGCTTGCTAGGCAGGCACTCTACCACTTGAGCCACTCTGCTAGCCCTGACCATCAGTAAAAATAGCCACACATAGTGTCGCTGTCCGAAGACCTTGTGTGATGCACTCAGGTGCTTTCACTTCCATTTTTTTACTGTGTGTTCAGTAGGCTGAGCCATTTCCCATTTTACAGCCAAGAACATTGAGGTACAGGGATACCTGGTGACTTGCACTCCATCCCACAGCAGACCAGGAGGGGCTGCCTAACTCTTTGCTCTATATAGCACCGCCAGGCCTCTGCCCCTGTAGCCTGGAGGGTGTGGTGAATGGAGCATCAGCCAGAACTTCAGGAAGCTGGCGGGGGCCTATCTGCTTAGGGGTACTGCCAGGGGCTGATTCTCTAATGTGTGTATCCAACTCCACTTCTACTGCTTCCTTCTCTCTTTTGTGTTCCTTCTGCATAGTTCTCATTTGACTAGTCTTGTCTCTCTAAGATCCATACCCTTATTTTTAACTCTCCTTTTGTTTTTTGGGTTTTTTGTGGTACTGAGGTTGGAACTCAGGGCTTCACGCTTGCTAAGCAAGCGCTCTTACTGCTTGAGCCATTCTGCCAGCCCTTTTTTGTGATGGGTTTTTTGAGATAGGGTCTCGCAAACTATTTGGCGGGGGCTGGCTTGCAATTGTGCTCTTCCTGATATATGCCTCTTGAGTAGCTAGAATTACAGGCATGAGCCACAGGCACTTGGCTTGTACTTTTTCTTTTTGAGACAGGGTCTTACTATGTATCCAAGGCTGGCCTCAAAAATCACTATTACAGGCATGTACCACCACACCTGACTTTGTGTGTGTGTGTGTGTGTGTGTGTGTGTGTGTGTGACTGGAGTTTGAACTCAGGTCTTCATGTTTGTAAAGCCCACACTCTACCACTTGAACCACACCTCTAGTCCTTTTTGCTCTGGTTATTTTGGAAATGGGGGGTCTCGAGAACTATTTGCCTGGGCTGACTTCAAACCTTGATCTTCCTGATCTCAGCCTCCCAAGTAGCTAGGATTACAGGCATGAGCCATCAGATCCTGATTCATACCCGGCTTTTGACGATTTTTTTTTTATCATGAAAAATCCTATTATATACAAAAGTGTGCAGAAAAAATGTAATGGGCTTCCATCCACCCATCATTCCAGCTTCAACAATAGTCAGTACTGGTCCTTTCTTGTTTATTCTTTAACTTTTCTCACTTCTATCTCTTCTGTATGCAACTATATTAGTAATATATTAAGAATTAGTGAGAGCTGGGTGCTGGTGGCTCCCGCCTGTAATCCTAGCTACGCAGGAGGCTGAGATCAGGAGAATCACAGTTGGAAACCAGCCCCGGGCAAATAGTTCATGAGACCCTATTTCGAAATGCAAAAAAGGGCTGGTGGAGTGACTCAAGTGGTAGAGCGCTTGCCTAGCAAGCTTGAGGCCTTGAGTTCAAAACCCAGTGCCACACACACACGCAGATTAATAAGTATGAAGAATTAGTACTAGTAAATTAGTTAAAAATACATAGACCTTTAAATCTTTATGCACCTCTGAAAATGGGGCTTAAAAAAATAAAAACAATACCATTAGCAAACCTGAAAAGAAAGCCCAGTGTGGTGGTTAGGTCTATAATCCCAGCACTTGGGAGAATGGGCAGGAGAATCACAAGTTCAAAGCCAGCCTGGGCTCCATAGCAAGTTCCAGTAGCCTGGACTATATTGAGACCCCTGTGTCAAAAATAAACAAAAACAAAACAAAAGACCTGAAAAGTGCCGGGCGCCAGTAGCTCACGCCTGTAATCCTAACTACTCAAGAGGCACTGATCAGGAGGATCCCAGTTTGAAGCTAGCCCAGGCAGATAGTTTGCAAGACACTATCTCGAAAAAAACCCTTCGCAAAAAAAAAAAAAAAAAAAAAAAAAAAAGGCTGGTGAAGTGGCTCAAGTTGTAGGCCCTGAGTTCAAGCCCCAGTACCAAAAAAAAAAAAAAAAAAAAAAAGCCTGAAAAGAAATTCACAAATATCACCAAATTTTCCTGATTCTTTCCTAAATGCATGTGTGAATCTGTGTGTTTTATAATTCTCATACTTTTGGGTCATTCCTACCATCCTTTGGGTAACGTGAGGTCCCTGTTGGACGGAGGCAGTGGCTTCTCACCATTTGCTCTGATGCCTCCCCTTGGATCCTTCAGGGCTTCTGAGGTTCAGGGAGGACACCCCACCTCCAGTTCAGTCCCATCAGCCCTGGATGGGCCCTGTATCTTCTCAGCTTGGGCTGTGGCGATCTGGGAAGTCTGTGGCCCTTTCCTCTTACTTCAAGCTTTTGGGTTCTGAGAACAGCTCCCTTTCTGTCCTCCTGCTTTGGCAAGTTGGTCTGTCCCTCCGTGGGTTCCAATGACCTGTCAGTCACTACCACATCACCCACGGCCTTCTTCCTTTTTGAAAATTTCTTCCAACCCAGGCCTACCCACAGCCCCGCAGCCTTTCACCCTGAGCTGACTCACTCTGTCCCGGATCCTTCCTTTCCTACTCGCCCTGGACCCACCCCTCAGCATGACCAGTGACAGCCAGGCTGACACCCAGAGGTGGGAAGAGGTGGGGAGCAAGGGAGTGATTCCGGTGTGGATACTGACCGAGGCAGCTCAGGTGGGGGCTCGGAGGAGAGGGAATTGAGAACAAGATGGTGGATGAGCCCACTAGGGAACTTTGGTGCTACATTTGTGTGTTTGTTGAGATTTTGGGCTGCCTTCGAGTGCCACACACAGGCTTGTGCTAGAGTTTCTGTGTAGAGCGTGTGTTGTGAGTCTGCTGGCAAGTGTATAATAGCTGATGGCAGACGTTCTTAGTAGAGGAAGAGAGGCTGGGTCTCTGTGGGTGTGTGGGTGTGTATTAATTGCTGGTAATCCCCACTTTTCTGGGTGTGATTGGTTGATTATTATAATTAAGATAACTTTGGGATGCTCTGTTGTTAAGCAGCTCAATTTGCATTTGTATTTGTATATATGAAGTTAGGGGTTGGTAAAGCAACAATTTCAATCCTATAGTTTTCACTGGCTTACTTACTATTTTCCTTGTCCACATTCCAAAATGAGAACTTTTTAGATCTTAAAAAAAATGTTTAGGCTTAAGCCTGCTTTCTGTTAGGCTGACTGGCTTCATTTCTCTTGGAGCGGTGCAAACAGCTTTGCTCTCTTGTTTGGCTATTTGGAAGTGGCCTTCTGATATCTATTTCACGAGTCTGAGATTGGTAGGAGCAGAAGATCCTTTGAAGTCTGAGCACATGTAACATTTTGGTAGGCACAAGGCATTGCCTGATGGGCTTTTCTTTTCTTTTTTTTTTTTTGCAGGGAGTTGGGGGGTTACTGAGGTTTGAACTTAAGGCCTACACTGCAGCCCTTTTTTGTGATGATTTTTTTTTTCCCCGAGATAGGGTCTCAGGAACTGTTTGCCCTGGCTGACCTCTAACCAGATCCTCTTGATCTCTGCCTCCTGAGTAGCTAGGATTACAGGTGTGATCCACCAGCACCTGGCTCGCCTGCTGGATTTTTAAAAGGTGGTAGAATTTGCACTCCCACCAAATAGTATCCGAGGGAATCCATTTTTCCCACAGCCACCTAAACAGGAGAAAGCATCAAGTTTTAAACATTTTGTTATTATTATTATTATTATTGACGGGACTGGGGTTTGCACTTGCAAAGCAGGTGCTCTACTGCTTGAGCCACACCTCCAGTCAATTTTGCTTTGGTTATTTTGGAGAATGGAGTCTCACGAACTATTTGCCCAGGCTGACCTGTAACCTCAACCCTTCCAATCTCATCCTCTAAGTAGCTAAGATGACAGGCATGAGCCACCAGCACCCGACAACATTTTGTTAATGTGATTGACAAAAACTACCCATCTCTTTGTTATTTTATTATATTATTTATTTTTTGGTGAGACTGAGGGCTGAATTCAGGCTTCGTGCTTGCAAAGCAGGTGCTCTACCACTTGAGCCACACCTCCAGTTCATTTTGCTCTGGTAAATTTTTTGGAGATGGGGTCTTGGGAATTATTTGTCCAGGGCTGGCCTTGAACTGGATCCTGCTGGTCTCTGCCTCCCAAGTAGCTAGGATTACAGGTGTGAGCCACCAGTGCCCGGCTTTACTTTTAAGACAGGATCTCACTATGTAGCACGAGCGAGTCTCTCTGACCTCCCATATGCTACAGTTACAGGCATGCACCACCACACTTGGCTTTTCTTGTTATTTTCATTTTACACTTTAATATGGTGCATTGGAGTATGTGCGTGGCATCTGGTGGGATGGATACCATGGCACTGCAAATCATCTTGAGGCATTGGTCTTCAGGGGCAGCAGAGGAATTTGGGATCTTGGATGGGTTGGGAAGTGATTTGGGGGGTGGCAGGGGAGGGTTCATCTCCATTCCTGGTTCCTTCTCAGCAAAGTGTCATGTAAATCATGGGTCTATTTTGGAATTCCAGCTGGTGCTGACTCTTGCCTTTTAGGGTGAAACTGAGAGCTCCCTCTCCTCTGCCTTTCACCCATCATCTTCCTGTGTCCCCTCCATTTCCCGCTGTGAGTATAAAAGCAGAACCAGGACAGAGACTATGGCATGGACTCTTCTCTCAGTTGCTCGTGACCTAATTCCTACCCTTTGATTCCTCCAGCCGACTGACCCACTGAGCCCCTGAGGTCCACGGCTTGGAATCAGAGCTCTGATTCTTGCTCAGTGTCCTTCAGTCAGGCCGAAGGGCCTTGACGGCTCCAGGTCTGGGAGAAGGTGGGATGGAGGTGAGACTGGAGAGAAATGAGCTAAATTTCACAACTTTTTGTGTGTGTATGAGACTGGGGTTTGAACTCAGGACTTCATGCTTGTGAAGCAGGCATTCTACTGCTTGAGAGACACCGCCAGTCCTTTTCACTCTGGTTATTTTGGAGATGGGGTCTCATAAACTATTCCCCCACTCCTCTCCGGGCTGTCCTCAAACCGCAATTTTCTCCAACTCAGCCTCCCAAGTTGCTGGGATTGTAGATGTGAGCCTCTAGCACCTGGTTTAGTTTCACAGCTTTTGAGCTCCTAAATAGCTTTCAGAGGAAAGATGGACGGGAGCTATTATCCATATTTAAAGGTGAAGAAACAGGTTTGGGCTGGCAGAGTGGATGAAGCAGAAGAGCTCTTACCTAGCAAGCATGAGGCTCTGAGTTCAAACCCTAGTACCACAAACAACAAGAACAACAACAACAAAAGAAACAGATTTGGTTTGGGAATTAACTTATCTAAGATCAGGAGGCCAATAAACCTTTTTTTTTTCTCATCTGAGGCATCTGGGGAAAGCAGACTGTGGCAGCACTGTCCTGGGAGACCTTTCCAGGGTTGTTGGAGGTATGACTGATTCAGAGGACTAGGACCCACCCAAAAGTGTGCTTTAGCCCCTGGAACTCTCCCTGCCCCGGGTTTTCTGACTCAGGACAGGTGCCTTCCATCCTCCAGGGCTCACATGGGAGCAGGGGCATGTGGGATGAAAGGTACTGCTGACGAGGGATTAATTGTGCATTGTGACAACTCTGTTCTTCCTGCTCCACAACTGGTGCTGATGATGGCCTGGTGGTGGTGGAGGTGGTGGCCATAGCAGTGCTTGCTGGTGGAGGTAGTTGTGATGGTGAAGGTAGTAGTTGCGGTGATGGTGTAGAAGGTGAGGTGGTAGTTGTGATGGTGGTGATGGTGGAGGTGTTGGTTGTAATGATGGTGGAGACAATGGAGGGGTGATTGTTGTGATGGTGTATAAGGTGGAGGTGTTGGTTATAGTGATGGTGGTGACGGTGGAGGTGGTGGTCAGCGGAGGGCGGTTGTGGTGGTGGAGGGGTAACGGTAGTGATGGTGATCATGGAGTCAGTGATTGTAGTGATGGTGAAGATGGGGGAGGTGGTAGTTGTGATTTTAGAGGTGATATCTGTGGTGCTGGTGGAGATAGTAGATGTGGTGATTATAGTGATGGTTAAAGTGGTGGAGGTGCTGGTTAGAGGGAGATTATTCTGGTGGAGGGATATTGGTAGTGATGGTGATTGTGGAGGTGGGGATTGTAGTGACTTTGCTGCCTCTGGTTGTTGGGATGATAAGAGCAGTAAGTACCTGTAATGATGGTGGAGATAGTGTCGAGAGTGATGGTGGTTGTGATAGTGGAGGCAGTGGTTGTAATGATGGTGATAGCGGGAGTAGTGACAGTGGAAGTGGTGGAGAAGAGGGCTTCCCCTTCTTTCTCTTTTACTCTGGCACAGTGGGGGATAGCGCAGCATCTAAGTCCTAGCTTCCTCTACTCTTCCTGAGACCCAAGACTTCGAGCACGAGGACTGAGTGTGATAGAGCCTTCTTTCAGGACAATAGGAAGCTCCCTGTCCACCTAGGACATTAGCTGATTCTCTGAAGGCCCAGGCCTAGGGCAAGCCATACTACAGATGCCAGGCCTAGGAGCATGGGGCAGGGATGGCCTGTGGGTGGGTGCTATAGGGTTAGGAGATTGTAGCACAGAGAGTGGGAGAGTCATCTTAGAGAAGAAGATGAGGGTGAGGCATGAAGTCCTATTAGGAACTGCCTGTCAATGACTGGCAAGTGACCCTCTGAAAGGAGAGCATTTAAAAAAACCCCTTGGGCAGGGGATGTACCTCCATGGAGAGTGCTTGCCCAGCATGCATTTTCCAGCTCTGAAAAAAAAAAAAAAGCTCCTTATTGGACTGGAGCTGTGGCTCAAGTGGTAGAGCACCTGCTTTGCAAGTGTGAAGCCCTGAGTTCAAATCCCAGTTCTACCAGAACAATGCTCCTTATAGTGTTTGGTATAAATACTTCTGCTATGAGCAATTTCAAGCAACCAAGATGATGTGATTGAATATAGAGTTCGGGGGAGATGGTGACAAAACCGTCATCTGTACCTCCACTTCACAGGCTCAATAGGCATAAATAACCTTAAAAGCCCAGACAAAAGGACAATACGGTAAAATAACAGGAAAGTGATTTCTGAGTATCGATTACCTTGTCTTCTAGTAGAATGTATTTAATTATAAGTTTATACAATTTAATTTTTAATTATGACTGTGTTTAACAACTGGCCAGCGAGCTTCCTGAATACTCTGCCAGCTGGCTCTTGTAAGTGGAGGCTGGCTCCATCTTACCTTATGCAGGTGACTGGCCAGAGCTGGGGCTGATGGGTACTGGGGCCTCTCTGTTCTCCCCAGGCGAATGTTCCCATTCCTGTCGTTCACTGTGGCTGGGCTGGAACCCACTAGCCATTACAGGATGTTTGTGGACGTGGTCTTGGTGGACCAGCACCACTGGCGATATCAGAGTGGCAAGTGGGTGCAGTGTGGAAAGGCTGAAGGCAGCATGCCAGGTACGTGCCCCTTGGGAGGGTGGGTGCACTTTTGCTTCAAGATCAGGCACCCCCTAGTGGATTTCCCAAGAACTGGCTTAAGTTCTACACCCCATCCCTCCCACCCTCTTTGGCTTTCCTTCAGCTGTCTTTTCTATTTTGCTCTATTTTGTCCACTGCTCAGTCCTTTGCCCACATCTACCCCTGCCCTGCATCATTCTCACATCCTCCTCAGAACAGGCAAAGCCCCACATTACCAGAAGTCTGTTCTAGGGACTGCTTACCAAAGAGGTTAACTGTCCACAGGAAACCGCTTGTACGTCCACCCAGATTCCCCCAACACTGGAGCCCACTGGATGCGCCAGGAAGTTTCATTTGGAAAACTGAAGCTCACGAACAACAAGGGAGCCTCCAACAATGTGACCCAGGTGGGAACTTCTGCCTCAAGGTGGCCTGCTTGAGTCTGAGATCTCTGAGTCCTTTGGGGTAACTGTTCTGTTAGAGTCCCTTTTCTTCCCACCCACTGTAAGAGAAAAATGAGATGGAGGAAGCTGAATCTCAGGCAGGGGTCACATACAGCCAACGCAGGCCAAGCCAGCCTGGGTGCCTTCTTCACTGGATCCCAGGGTTGTCACCATGATGGGCCAAAGTTGGTTCAGTGTCCCAGGGAATGAAAGAAGAGTTTCTCCAAGTTGAGAAATCCTGTTAAATGTACACTTAAAACTAAAATGCCCCTTGTGCTAATACCTTGGTCTCAAAGGACTTCTGAGAACAAGACAGGGGGCATGAAGCTAGAATTGGCCAAAGAGGCTGGGGCCTAGAGTTGGAAGGTTTGGGAGAAGGTACATGGTGGCAGGCCTGGAAAAGGGACAAGATGACCTCAGGGTCCCTTCTAACCTCACTGTAGGGCCAGTCGTTGATGGAGGTGGTGGGATCCATAGGACCATATCCAGCCCCCCTCCTCTGCCCCACAACCTCTGGCTTCCTCTTCAGATGATTGTGCTGCAGTCTCTCCATAAGTACCAGCCCCGGCTGCACATTGTGGAGGTGAATGATGGAGAGCCGGAGGCCACCTGCAATGCTTCTAACACACACATCTTTACTTTCCAAGAAACCCAATTCATTGCTGTGACTGCCTACCAGAACGCCGAGGTGAGGACTGCTCCAGCCAGGGGGCCTGAGCCTGGACTGGGGGGAGGGGCAGCAGGGGCCATGCTCTTCCTTGGGAGGAAGACACAAACTCAGGGTTCAGGTGACTCTGTCTCCTTCTCTCTAGATCACTCAGCTGAAAATTGATAATAACCCTTTTGCCAAAGGATTCCGAGAGAACTTTGAGTCGTAAGTGCCACTGGGTTCAACTCACCTTTGGTCCCTCTAAAGAGGGGACTCTAGATCCATGCTCATCATGTCCTCTCCCTGTCCTGGAGGGGGTTGGAGGGTAGACAGGCTGGGGAAGGAGGGTGAGGGAAGGGACGTGCAGCAGCAAGCAGGCTCCTAGGTGATTGGCGATTGGTTCTGCTTGTGAACCCATTTTCTCAATTCCTTTATTTTCCTTTTTTAGCATGTATGCATCTGTTGACACCAGTGTCCCCTCCCCACCTGGACCCAACTGTCAACTACTTGGAGGAGACCCTTACTCACCTCTCCTATCCAACCAATATCCTGTTCCCAATCGCTTCTACCCTGACCTACCCAGCCAGGCCAAAGATATGATCTCCCAACCTTATTGGCTGGGTGCACCGCGGGACCACAGCTATGAAGCCGAGTTTCGAGCAGTCAGCATGAAGCCTGCATTCCTGCCCTCTGCCCCTGGGCCCACCATGTCCTACTACCGAGGCCAGGAGGTCCTGGCACCTGGAGCTGGCTGGCCTGTCACACCACAGTACCCTCCCAAGATGGGTCCAGCCAGCTGGTTCCGCCCCATGCGAACTCTGCCCATGGAGCCTGGCCCTGGAGCCTCTGAGGGGCGGGGGCCAGAGGAGCAGGGCTCCCCCTCCTTGTGGACTGAGGTCACCCCGCTCCGGCCAGAGCCCAGTGACTCAGGACTGGGCGAAGGAGAATCTAAGAGGAGGCGGGTCTCCCCCTACCCGTCCAGTGGGGACAGCTCCTCTCCTGCTGGGGCTCCTTCTCCTTTTGATAAGGAAGCCGAAGGTCAGTTTTATAACTATTTTCCCAACTGAACAGACGCCATGCTGAAAGGAAGACACAGTGCTATTAGTTGGAGGACACCAACCAACTTAGAAAACAGACGCAGGGTGGAGAAGTCCAGCTCCCACTGTCCCTCTCAGTATAGTGATTGGTTGGGAGAGAGAGGTCCAAGAAGGATTTTGGAGTTCACTTCTTCTTCCTGGCTCACAATAAAATGTGACAGAAGTGTCCCCAGTCCCTTCTCCACCTGAACTACAGTCATGTACTTGGTGCTGCTTCTGGGGAGACAATCCCATGGAAAACAGACAATGGACTGGAGAAGGTCCTAGAAAACAAAGGAGCTTCTGATGGGGTGGGGGGGTCAGGGTGGGTGGCCAGGACTGAAGACCAGTTCTCTACCCTTGTGAGTAACTTTTGACAGTTTTGTCCGTGTGTGTGTGTTAATAATCCCTGATCTGAAAATAAAAATACACCGATTTTGTAACAGCCACCCAGGGTCAGGGAGAAGACTCAGGTGACTTTGGGCAGCTGGCCTGGGCCCACCTACTCAGAGACAAGCGAGTGGGTCACAGAGAAAGGGGCTGGGAGGGGATGGTGCACATCTCACCAAGTGAGGTGCCCTTTGTGGTGGTTGTGCACGTGCACGCCTTTTCTTTTTTTATTTTTTTGAAAAGAGGCTATTTATTGTACGGAGAGTGGTGTCTGGATGTATTTCTTTTGTCTTCATCACTTTCTGAAAATAAACATGAAACTGTTGAGTGTGTGCTGCTTCTGTGCCAGTGTAGGGAGTGCTGGGAGGGGTCTCACCTGGAGATTGCTGGCAGAGCAAAACTGTTCTCCCGACTCTTGTTTCTGGGGTACTTGCTAAAAACCTAAAGTGGCCTCATTCAGGGGAAAAACTGAATTAGAGCAAGGCTACATGTCCCACCCTCAGCACTCAAGTTGATGCTGCCTTTTTTTTGGGTGGTACTGGGGTTTGAACTTGCCTGCTTACTAGGCAGGCGTTCTACCACTTAAGCCACTCTGCTAGCCCTTTGTGTGTTGGGTATTTTCAAGATAGGATCTCATGAACTGTTTGCCCAGGCTGGCTTCCAACAGCAATCCTCCTGATCTCTGCCTCCTGAGTAGCTAGGGTTACAGGTGTGAGCCAATGGTGCCCAGGGAACGAGGCTAGGTGGGATGAGGGGCTCTGACAATGGTACTTGCATTTCTATAGTTCCCCATTTTCATCTCTAGGTTGTTCAAAGGTTAAAGGAGTAAATATAAATTAAACCATACATTGCATTTTTGTAGGTCGTTAACAACCAATTATTAACAACTTTATATGATCTGACCAAATACATGTAAAGGGCCTGACAAGCAGAAAGAGCACTCTGTATAAACTACTGTAATCATTTTCTAGTTTTCACTCTATAAACACACTGAAATGAGTTTGTAAAATGTACATGCTTTAAAAAAAGCAAGCAACAAAGAAAAGAATAAAGACATCAATAAATTATCTCAACTCTCACCACCCATCAAGAATTATCATTAAAGCCAGGCATCCGTGGCTCACACCTGTAATCCTAGCTACTCAGGAGGCAGAGATCAGGAGGATTGCAGTTCAAAGGCAACCTAAACAAATAGTTTACGAGACGAGACCCTATCTCAAAAAAACCCATCACATAAAAGGGCTGGTGGAGTGGCTCAAGGTGTAGGCCCTGAGTTCAAGTGCCAGTACCACACACAAAAGAACTGTCATTAACATTGATGGTTTAGATAGACAGAAATACTACTCCCCCCTTTTTGAGACAAGGTGTCCTGCATTGCCCAGGATGGCCTCAAACTTGAGATCCTAATGCTTCAGTCTCCTAAATGTTGGAATTATAGGCTTGTACCACCATACTGGTCAGAAATACTTTTATAAAATTGAAATCATACTGAAAATGCTTTTCTAAAAAATAACTACTGAATTTTAGTTCATAGAACTTAATAATACAAGAAAAAAACTCTCAATAGAAACAAGGGAACTGTTGAGCTTGAGGTGTGGTTCAAGAGCACCTGCCTAGTAAGCCCAAGGTCCTGAGTTCAAACCCCAGTACTGCAAAAAAAAAAAAAAAATTTAAAAAATGAGGGAACTGTTGAACTTGATATAAATTTTTCTTTACTACATAAAATATTTTCTGGGTAGACTCCTCCAAAATAATAAAAAAAAGAAAAAAATTCTTCTTGATAGTACTAGGTTTTGAACTCATGGCCTTGTATATGCTAGGCAAGCACTCTATCACTTGAGCCACTCCGCCAGCTCAAAGGAAGATGAAACATATTTTCTGAATGAACACTGTAAGGTTAAGGAAGATTCATGGCAAATGCTCAGAGGCTGAAGTTACTCTGTTTGCTTTGCCCCAGTGGGTATCCCCACTGGGGGAACATCATCGTGACTCTGGCTTGTCCTCCATTCTGTTTGGAGCCTGGAATGTTTCACCTGCACTACAGCACACATCTCCTCCTGTACTGCACTCTACCAGAGTCCATTTCCATCGCCTTCTAGTCAGAAGGAGAAGATGAGGAGACACAGTTGGCTCCATCCTGTTTGGATTTGGACGTTTATAATTTTATAAATGATGTGGGAGTTCTGCCACATGGTACTCTGAACTCAGATTATTCTTTCTCCCACCCAATGCTTGGCTCTTCTTGTCTTGAGTTAATGATATTAAGTTGATTCTATTTCCTTCTTAGGAAATGGTTTTTGTTCACTTCACTGGAGAGAAAATGCAGGGAGTTGTGGTCAAGCCATGCTCCACCATCTCTTTCCAGAAGTCTGGCTTTGTTCATAAAGTTTCATTACTATTTGTCTTCACAATTAAAAGTTTTTCTTTTCTCTCTTTCTTTCTTTTGTTGTATTTTGGAGGTACTGGGGTTTGAACTCAGGGCCTTCTGCTTGCTAAGTGTTCTACCTCTTAAGCCATGTCTCCAGCACTGTCTCCCCCTCTACCCCCATCCCTCTTCTTTTTGAGACAAGATCTCACTGTGCAGTGTTGGGCAACCCAGAACTTGATATATGTCCTAGGCTGGCCTCAAACTCATGATCCTCCTACCTCAGCCTCCAGAGTATGGGGATTATAGGTGTGTTACTCCACGCCTGTCTATAAGCCACACCTCTAGGCACCACCCCCATCTTTTTTTATTTTAAAGGCAAGGTCTTGCTCTGTAGCCCAGGATAGCCTGGAATTTACTATGTAGACCTAGGCTAATCTCAAACTTGCTATCCTCCAGTCTCAGTCTCCTCAGTGCTGGGATTACAGGCATGGGCCACTGAACCTGGTTCTAAAAGGATCATTTATATACAACACAACTGAAAAGCTTAAAGAAACCCTACTATTATAATTACCTATATATTTCATTCCTTCATCCTATTCCTTTCTTGCATACTGACTTTGGTGCTTCTCCTTTTTAGCTTTTAAAATTAAGTGTGGGTTGGAGGTAGAGCACTTACCTAGCGTTCATGAAGTCCTGGGTTCCATCTCCAGCACCAGAAAAAAAAAATTAAAAATTAAGCTTTAGCCCTGTAGTCTATTATAGTAGTTCTAGCCTTTTACTTCATAAAAGAATATATATGTATATCCTTCTTGATTTTTTAACTCAACACTTTATTTTATTTATTTATTTATTTTTGATGGTACTGGGGTTTGAACTCAAGGCTTTAGTGTTTGTTAGCAGGAGCTCTACCAGTTGAGCCACTCCTCCAGCACTCAACAGTATTTCTGAGGTTCGCCCATTGTGGAATAGGTAGCTTTAGTTGAACTCTCCGTCCTCCTTGCTCAGCCTCCTGCGATTGCAGGCACGCACCAGCATACGAGGCTCTGAACAGTTTTGCTATAAATATTTGTGTGTAAGTCTCAAGGCATATAAGTGCCAAAGTGACTCGCGTATATGTCTAGGAATGGTAGGGCATTGTGAATATCCAGTTTAACAAGAGAATGCCAGATTGCTTTGGCAATGTACACTCCCCCTGAAACTGTAGACAGAACAGGTTGTGCTCTTTTCTAACTTTTTTTCATCAGGAGCAAAACTGAGCATCTCTTCCTATGTTTACCAGCCATATGTCTGTGAAGTGATTTCTCGTATCTTTTGCCCATATTTATACTAGGCTTCTTATCTTTTATTCATTGATTTTGGTCCGGTATATATTCCCGATACCTATCATTACTTGGTTATTTATACTGCAATTATTTATTTCTAGATCACTGCTAATCTTTTCACTTTCTTTTATGAAGTGACTACAGCAAGGGTTTTCAATCGTGTGTGTGTGTGTGTGTGTGTGTGTGTGGCGATGGAACCCGAGGCCTCACATATATGAAGCATGAGCTTTACCTCTGAGCTACACGTCAAGTTTTCTTTTTTTAGTAGGTGGAGCCTCACTATGTAACCCAGGCTGGCTTCAAACTCATGATATTTCTGCCTCAGCCTTGCTAGTGGTGGGAGAAGTGTGCCACTGCTCCTCACTTGAGATACCATTTCTTCTTTTTTTTTTGGCAGTACTGGGGGTTTGAACGCAGGGCCTCATGCTTGCTAGGCAGGTGAACTACTCATGCAGCCTCTTTTTTTGTGTTGGGCATTTTCAAAATAGTCTCTCCAACTATTTTCTCAGACTGGCCTCAAACTGAGATCCTCTTGATCTCTGCCTCCTGATTAGCTAGGATTACAGGCGTGAGCCACTGGAGTCTAGCTCCCGATTTACTCTTGTTCTTATTTCCAATATAATAATTGCGAAACTTTCAGTTCCCTTTTTAAACCTCCACAAATTAGCCTCTTGTATTATTTTATTGAACAATACTTATTTGGACTTACCTTAATTTTACCATTTTCTATGCACTTTTTTTCTCCTTGCATTTCTAACTTTATTTTCTTCTTGAATAGATCTTTTATAGTTTTTTGGGATTGGTACTGGGTTTGAACTCAGGGTCTCACACTTGCTAAGCAGGCGCTCTATCACTTGAAACACCGCACCAGGTATAAATTATTTTAGAGAAGCTCTCTGTAAAGTTCTCCTGAGCTTGTTTCTTAAAAAGTTCATATTTTTTCCCTCGTTGTTTCTTGAGATGGAGTCTCACTAGGTAGCCCAGACGGTCCTTGTATTTGTGATCCTCCTGCCTTAGCCTCCCAAGTACCAGCTAACTTGCCTAGTGTCCCTCATTATTGAATGACAGTTTTGCTGAGTATACAATTTAAGTTGAGAGTATTTTATCTTACCATTTAATATTTGATCCCTCTGTCTTTTGGATTGCATTGTTACAAAATTTGCTCCTGGTCTAATTTTCATTCTTTCGTAGGTCATCAGTCTTTTCTCTCTGCTTTCTGGCCAGTCGTCTACATATATTTGATGACCTACAGATTTATTACAGTGTGACAAGGTGAGAGTTCATTTTTCTTTATCAGATTTGGGACACTGTGCTCCTTGAATCTGAGCATTTGTGGTTTTCATCAGTCTTAAAATTCTTAGTCGTTATTTCTTTAAATATTGCTTATTTCCCTCCACTTTCATCCTTTGGGATTCTGATCGATGTCAGGCATTCTCATTCTATCATATTCAAATAATATCTCACTCACTGTTATTCAGTAGAAACGCTCACAACTTCCTATGACTATTTTTTCTCCTTGTCTCTTTTTCTGTATCCTGGATAAATTCTTCACA